TAAGGGTGCCCCTCTGAGATCCTGAGTGAGCTACCAGTGGTCTCTGGGCAAACATGCCACCAGTGTCAAGGTCAGGGTTCCTGAGAATTTTTCCACGCACTGTGAACCTCAAGACCCTGGATAAAGAGTTTAATTTTTAGCACCTGTCTAGATTTGTGCCCTATATGAATTGAACTGAGCACTTGTGAAGAGAATCTGAATCACAGCCTAAAGAGTCAAATGTGTGAGAGGACACTTTAACCCGGGCCCACAAACCCTAGAATTACCGTGAATCATTGGTTTAAAGACACCTAAAAGCTAGCAGAGTTCTACACCCATGCATAGCTGACCTCTAAAGGGGATGGTATCAGGAAGATGTCATGAGAGAATTTAGGGATTAAGGGGGCCGCCCCAGTTTTAAATTCCTTGGTGTTTTTGTGGTTCTCCTCGGATTTTAACTAAAGGCTTTCTCCATCTGCCTGGATAGAAAGAGCCCTGGGCTGAGGTCCTGGCTCCACCCTATCCCGCTGTGGTGCAGCGAGTCCAGCTGTTGCGGGATTTGGTCGCGGGGGGTGGGGTGGGGGGGAAATGCTTGAGCAGAGGGTCACCCCAGGCCTAGGCCTTACAGAACAAGAGTCCCATAAGGACTCCAATACTGTTCCATTGCCCCTGTCCCTCATGGGGGAGGAGAGCGACGCCAGGCCAATTTGGGCAGATGACGTCAATCTACCTGAGACTGGAAAACTGGAAAAGCAGAGCTCGAAGCAGTGGTGGCCAGTGGAGCTCAAGTTCCGCCCACGTGGGAGCTTGCAGGTTCAGTCCCTGCCTTACCCCACCCTACATTGCCTGGGAGGCCAGGACTGAGATGAGGCCCTGGGCAGCTGAGGAGCTGCTGGACCTTGTCTTTTCTCCATCCCTCAACAGCCTCCTCAGCAAAGAGGAATCAGACTTTTTTTCCTACGTGGACTGAGTAAAGGAACCCCAGGAGACACTGTTGCCCGCAGAGGTGGGAACCTTGCCCATGCTTTTCTTGGGCTCCTGTCCCTATGGGAAGAGAGGAGCTAACAGCAGTGGACCTCAGACGGGGTCTTTTTAGGTAAATTATAGTTTTGGGTGCACGACTCAAAGTATAAACCTGCCTGGTGTATGACTTTGCATTCCATCATTCCGTCAGACCCTCAGAGTCTTCTAGTACCATCTTGTCCTGTCAGAGTCTACAATCTGTGAGCTGCATTGAAGTAGACAAAGCAGACAAAGGTATTGAAAGTAAATCAAGGAAGGGGAAAAGCACTCACCTGACTCCTGGCTGACAAGCCAAGATGCTGTTAGAGCTGTCTCTGTCTCACCTGATACCCAGCTTCTTCATATCCCCAACAAAGAACTGAGCGGGACACACAGGAGCTGTAAGAAAGGCAGAAATTTGTGAAAGGAAAATGCGCTTCTCAGAGAGAAGCATGCTGACCAGGCTCCAGTGAGTTTGACACAGAGCAACCCTGTCTGTTGTAGGTCTGAGTCAAAAGTAACCTTGGGAGAGTTTTAAACAAGCCTAGGTTAGAGGTGCAAAACTACTGCAGAGTTTCAGGGTTGGTATCTTCCTTTTCCTAGAATTTGGAGAGCGATCAGGGTGGTAACTAACTGGATTCTACTAAAGTGAAAGTGTCCCCTCTCCTGTCAGAGGCGGGAGATGTTTGACTTAATATGGGCCTGTCTGGAACCAGCACACTGCCACAGTCCACAACAGGGGTCAAAATCACAATGTTAATGATATTAGAAAGACCTTGCGGTCACCCTTGGTTAACCTCAATCCCTTAAAGTGGACGCTCCTCCACCTCAGGCCAGATGTGAAGGAAATGTGATAAGGGCAGGAGTACATTGCAGACTCCTATCAGGTTGTTAAGGAAATACAGCAAGAGCAAAATGCTTTTGTGGTCTCCAAGAGACCGTCCTGAGCCTAAGGCCACAATGTCTCCTAGCTGTCCATCCCCTGCCTCAGTAGGGGGGCAAAATCCTGTCTCCTGGGCTTCTGGCTCTCTGTCAGGGCTGACTCTAATCTGGTCAGGATGTGACCATTGAGTAAACTGAATCTGGGACTTCAAGCTTAAGCTTTCATACTGAAAAATCCGTTCTCTCTGTCTCTTGTCACAGAGAGTGATAAAGGTTGTCTTCTTCAACACACTGAAGTAGAATTTGCTGATTATGGTGATCCAACAGAGAAACTGTATTTGAGCAATTAAGCAACTGAGATATGCTTCTGTAGATAATACTTAAGCAAACTGTGGTGCAACTAAAGAATAGAAGAGTAATTCAATGAAGAAAGAAATGTGCTATCACGCCAGAAAAAAAAAAAAAAAGAGGTTCCTAACTGCATACAGTTATGTGAAAGAAGTCAATCTGTAAAGGCTCAATATTGTATGATTTTTACTATGCAGACTAAGATCAGTGATTGTCTGGAACTGGGGGAAAAAGAGGTGATGAACAGGTGGAGTACAAGCAGTTTTCAGGGTCACAACACAATTCTGTTTGATGCTATAGTGATGGATATGTGTCACTAGACATTTGTCAAAACCAATAGGATATACAATAGAAAACATAAGCCTCTGTGAAAATGATGGATTTCACTTAAGAACACTGTAACAAGATTTTTTTTCTGTAAACCTAAAAATGTTCCCAAGTAATAAATTAAATATTTTAAATAAGAAAAGAAAGAGAGTAAGAAAGTGTAGTCCTACTATTTCAAAGGCTATGGTGGCCAAATTATTAAAGGCTATAAGTTTGGGACAAGCCTAGACCATGCCATGAGATCCTGTGTAAAACAAAAGAAAAATGCAGATTTGATCAAAAACAAACAAACAAAAACAAAGCTGGGTGTGGTGGTGTATACCTATAAGGCCAGCACCCTGCAAGACTAAGACAGAAGAATCCCAGTGTGAAGCCAGTTTGGGCAGTTAGTAATTTAGCAAGACCCATTCTCAATATTAAAAAAGCCTGGGGGCCAGGGATTTAGCTCAGTTGTTCTGCCACCTGCTTCCTAAGTGCAAGGTCCTGAGTTCGATCACCAGTAACGACAAAGGAGTGGGGGCACTGGGGATGTAGCTCAGGTGAAGGGCCTGGTTCAGTCCCCAGCCCTGAAACAAAAATCATGTAGATAATAGCCCAGCTGTCCACGCTTGGGGATACCATGTGGAGGGCATTTGTTAGTTTAGACTAACCAGTCCTGCAAAGCACTCTAGGTGCTTAATCGTGTTTCCTACCTGTGGTTTATATGTAGATGTCCTCTGAAAGCCTCATATGCTCCATAGTGGGGCATTTAGGAGAAGGTTGGATCATAGGGGTGTGATATTCGTCAGGGGATTAGTCTACAGGTGACTTTATAGCTAAATGTGATGCTGGGAGGCAAAGCCTGTTTGGAGGAAGTGGGTCACTGGATGGTGTGGAAGGGTTTCTCTCTCTCCTGCCTCCCTTGATCCTTCTCTGCTTCCTGCTACCACACCATGAACTATTTCTCCTCTCTCTTCTGCTGTCCTGCCCTGCCATGGGGCCAGCTGACAGGACTGAAACCTCTACAGACTTTGAGCCAAAATAAACTTTCTGCCTTGAATTTGTGGGTGATGGGTATTGTGTCTCAGAAACTTGAAGGTAACTAAGACAGTAATTTAACAGCAAATAGTTTGTGACAAAAAGTCTGGTGCGTTCTTCTTTCCTTCCTTTTCTTGAATGATTTCAGCTAATTCAGATGCCTGTGGTTGTTAGACAGTACTATGACTTTTACAACATTAGAGCAGCTGGAAATTTTCAAATTAAAATACTTGCAGCCTTTTCCTACTTATTAGATTATTATATGCAGTTAAGTTAGATAGAAATTAATATACACTCATAGAAGAACTGGGGCCTCAAGACAAGACATCAAAAGTGTGGCTAGAGGCAAAGCTGAAAACAATCAATCCCAGTTCTTTCCAATCATCCTCACTAAGTGACTCATTTCCCTACTGGATTGATATTAGCTAGGCAACTGTAATTATAATCCTATAGGTTAATTGTAGTCTTGTCCACATTGTACTTACAATGTGATTTTGCTGTTTAAATTATCCCCGACAAAGGGCTTCAGTGGCCACAGACTCTGGACACCTCCTGGAAATCCAGAAGCTGTTCTTCTTCCCTGTATTCTCAATAAAACTTATCTATCTCACTTTTCCCTTTGATTTGTGACTTCATTCCTCAATGTCATGAGACCATGAATTCTTCACATTACACATCTAACAGGTCAGGAGTTTTTCTATATCAAGATCAGTAAATAAATTGATAAAATCTGGGAAAATTGGCAGAAGCTAAACGAAGTCACTTTTATCATGATCTCACAAAATAATAATCAATAATGCTGGAGATCATGAAAGTGAATTTTGAAACTCATAAAAAGAGTTTATGCAGTTGTGCCTGATAATGATGAACAAGTCATGGAAGACTTCCAGAAAAACAGCTTTGCACAAAAAATGTAAACAAATATTTCAGTGAGTACATTTGCCCAACTCATGTCAATTTGACTTACAACTCATTTCCTTGTATGTAGTCAAGGATTGTCTCAATAATTTCCGTCACCTTCTTTGTTTTGCCTTAGGAAATTTCATCCTAAAATTCCTCCTAAATTTCCTTAATTTCCTCAATACTCAAAGTTCACTATAGTATGCAGATTGTCAGTGCAATCAATGTCTATTCCGAAATAACGTAGTCTTTGCAGAATATCGATCTGTATGCTATTTTGATGATCAAACTCATAATTGACACTCATAACATAATCCGTGCATTTTCAGCAGGAAAAATATGTAGTAGGTTGTGATCTCTAGCAATATACTTATGGCAGTCAATCCACAAAATACTGTATTGGATGGACTTTCTGTTCTAATGTGAACCCTGAACTCTGGCTCCTCCCCCTGAAGCTCAGTCAGCCTTATTAACAGGACCTGCCAGTTTCTCAGTCCAGCTCATAAGACAGTTCTGTGCTTTCTCAGAACATTTCTACACCAACTATGGGAGCTTTTATAGATCTCAGCACCAAAGCCAAGATGCCCATTGTGGGCCTGGGGACCTGGCAGGTAAATATGCAATCTTGGGGAACCTGCTTCCTTAGAGGGGTTTTGTGGTGGTTTCTCTTCTGTACATTCAGTTACACCTATGTGTTCACTTCAGCCCCACAGACAGCACCTCACCTGCTTTCCTTTCTGAGGGCCAATTCAGGCTGTAAATCACTAAAACTGGCTTTTCGTAGTGCTGATGAGTTTCCCTTGCAAGTATCAAGTTTTAGGCAGGTGTTGCAAAGAAATTTATTTTCAGGGAAGGTACTATTTTATCACTCTTTTTCTCTAAAACACTGACTGATACTGGAGAACTTCTGGGGATGGACATTTTACAGTTCATGGCCAAGGGTTTGCTGCTAGCAGAGTGCTTGAGAAAGAATGCAGAGCTCCAAAGTCCCTGGCATTTCTTGCTGCTTGTGTGGTAGAAATTGGGCCCAGCAGTAATAATGTTGCCCGTATGCTCTGTAGAAATGCAGAATCTTAGGATCATCTTATGCTACTGGATCAGCATCTGCAGTTAACCAATACCACCACATGGTTATTAAAGTTTGAGAAGTGCTGGGACCACAGAGATCCTGGCTGGGAGTCAGAAGCTAGGTTCAGCCCTGGCAGTGATAAGGTGAGCCTGAAAAATTCTCTAAGGCACACTGCAGCACCCTGTGAAGAGATTCATGGTCCTCCACGATAGCATCACTGAAGTTATATTCAGATCCCATCTTTTCTCCTGTCCTTTGGACATCTTCTCTCTGTTTTGTATTTCCACTATGGCTCTCTTTCCCTCTTTGTATCCTCTTTCTCCTTCTTCTCTTGTGGAACATTACTATTGTTACTGGGTTCTGGGGTACTGGACTCTCCTAGAGTGGCTTTCTAGGTTCTTTGTGTGCTGAACAAAGAATTGGTCAAGACAAGCAAAGAGGGTAGTGAAGTTTTAAATTTACATAATGTAGAAAAAGAAAAAATATATCCTACTGAGTGAGTGCAGGCCAATTCAAAGTAGGAAAAGAATTACATCTTTCAAAATTCAGGATGGGCCACTAAAAGAGGTAACAGTGGTCACCAGTTTAATGGTAGCCATCTTTTGTATTGCCCACTCCTCAGGCTCATGTCAGATGTAGGCTGTCTTATCAAAGATCTGCTTGATCTCTTGGGAGAATTTAAGATAGCACTTTCTGATTGGTTCCAAGAACAGTGATTGGGCCCTTATCTCCTTGATCTCCGTGATTAACAGGTCACACCCTTTTGTCCAGCTGGCTGCCATACCTTAACCTCCTGTTTCTGAATCCCTCTTCATTTCAGCCCCGGGTTTATGGACTCTTGGGATACAGTCTAGGTCTATTTGAGTGAGCAGATCAATGCCAGCATAATTCAGTCTCAATCTCTTTGCATGAACTACAAATATTACCTCAAATCATAATTTTAAGCTTATGCACAATTGATAATTTTCATATCTATAGTAAATCTCATCATCTTGGATATATTTACTAGAAACTTATTTTCAGAATTCTAAAAGTAGTTAGAAAGATTATGAGGAGAAGTATTTTGAAGTCATGGAGATACTACAATTTAAGACATTTGTACCAATAGGTGAAGATGAAGAAGAATACAGTGGTTTGGAAATGGGCTGTGGATGCACCAGTATTGCAAGCAGCAATTTTAAAAAAAATATCAGTGCTTGTGTAGCTTTATATACTTTTCAGTGTTTGATACTTCACAACCAAAGAAGTTCTAGACTTTTGAGAGATCATTTTTAATTGCTTTCGCTCCCTCATTGTTGGACTTCGATAAATTAGACAAAAATACATTACTTCTTTTCTTCTTTCTTGAGAGTGGTAAAGAAAGTGTATTCTTATAAGTTTTCAGTCTCTTCTTTCTGAAAAAATCATTACATCATGGATCACATCTACTGAGCCTTCCTGGTTGCCAGGTTATGCGCTAAAAAGTTTACATTCTATGGCAAGTAGTTGATAAAGGACCTCATGAAACTAGGGTTCTATTGTTCCCATTTTGCAGGCAGAGTTTAGAGAGATGGAGGAGTCTGCTCATGCCTGTCCATCTGGTATGTGGCAGCAAATAGATTCATCCTGTGAAGATCATTTCCCACATCCTCATCATTACCTGGAGCCTGAAATTCTTCTGAGATTCCTCAGAGTCTAGTTTCATCCTGGTATTTTCCAATTACAGTTGGATTAACCTGTCAATCCCAGCCATTTGACTAGCCTGCATTAAAGGGGAATTGGCTTTTACCTAGGATCAGTTGCCAAGTCATATACATTAAATCAGTTTATCTTTTCTCTATTCATTTGAAAAATTTTCCATAATGTTTACCTCCAAGATGGCCCAGGTCAAATGGGACTCCCAGAAAAAGCTGGGAAAATTTGGGCTCTAAACAGACAGGTGGAAGAAGTCTTCTGATAAGAAGGCATGAGGGTTTATTTCTTGCCTATCAGTCTTCCTCAGGCAAAATCAAAGAAGCCGTGAAGGTGGCCATTGATGTAGGGTATCGTCACATCGACTGTGCCCTTTTCTATCAGAATGAGAATGAGGTGGGAGAAGCCATCCAAGAGAAGATTCAAGAGAAAGTTGTCAAGCGGGAGGACCTCTTCATTGTTAGCAAGGTATATGGTGCCCCTGTGGTGGGAGGCCATAACAAGATCTATATCTCATCAGCATTTCCTATAGGTCCGCATGTCTATCTCTCCCTTTATTACAATCCTGAAAAGAAACATCTACCCTCCAAATTATTATTAGTATGTGGAGAAAGCTGCTGCTGCTGCTCCACCCTCCTGGAAGTTGGCTTCCAATTTGGAGATGGCTTCCATGAGCCTCTGGTACCTGGGCCTTCCCCTTTCCAGTCAGTTCAATCCATTAGCCTAGCAGCTTCTGAGGCTAGAAGGAGGGACTGGTCTTGTAGTCCAGCTTTCAGCACTGTATTCTCAGGGAGCATGGCCTTGAGATTGTCAGCCAGGTGGGTTTGGGGAAGGGGTGGGAGTATTTTTTTTTAATTGTCATAAATGAATTTTTAAAAATTTCTGTTCAGTAAATGAGTAATGATAAAATGGGATAAAATAAAATAAGGTGATGTTGTGTATGAGGGGCTTGAAAATCACTGGATCTGTATTATACACAATATACCAAAACAAATTAGATGCATGTACTTTGAAAGTGCACCTTGTGGGAGAAATAGATCCACTGTGAGTAGAGGTCAAGTCTGGTTGAAATCTTTGTAAAGCCATCATTTGGGCTCTATGAGGCTTGGGCAAAGGAGAAAAGAAAAGGGCTATCTGCTTCCAATAGCATAAGCTAGCTTAAAATTTCAAAGTTACACATAATTCCTGTCCTTAGAGGTCAGGTAGCCAAGGGAGAGAATAGCAGAAGTATTCAAATACTCAATCAGTGGTCCCATGTGCTAAATGATCTAAGGACACAAAGATTACTCATAACAATAATAAAGAATTTGTCCACAAAGTTTAATGTCATTGTAATGCTCAGCCTTGATGAGTGCGCACTGAAACATGCACCTTAATCAGCATTGTTATAAATAGCCTGGTTTCAGGTTAGATCAGGCTGCAAATCTCAAACAAGGAACAAGAGTGTGGTGCGACCCTTTCCCTCTCCTGTCTTAAGGCTTCTTTGTTCTGCTCTGCAGTTGTGGTGCACATTCTTTGAGAAAAGCCTTGTGAAGGAAGCCTGTTGGAAAACGCTGAAGGACTTGAAACTGGACTACCTGGATGTTTACCTTATGCACTTTCCACAGGGATTTCAGGTTTGACTTGTTCCCTACCCACATCTCAAAGGCATGTCAGTGGATCACACTGGAAGCTCTTGTACAATCTAGAAAGTACACGGGAAATTCTGTCCTCACTTGGCCATGTACTTGGGATTTCTTGCAGTTATGCCTGAGATAAACTATAATTTTTGGCAGCATAGACAACTGGTATTGCTCCATAAACTTTGTCTTGATTAATAGCCAAGGAGAACTCAGTATACTGTTGCGAAACATTATTTTAGGGCCCTATTCTCCTGTTTACAGGAGAACACCTGGGAGTGGCTTCCTGGAGAGAGTATATTGGGGCTGGGAAGGATCCATCCTTCATAACAATGTTGAACTCATTGCCCAAGGGTCTTTCCTATCTTTTCCTCATAGCAACGGTATATGAGTTTAATGGTAATAATGAAGACTTTTAGAATATACTGTGATTGAACTTTAAAATGAGTACAGGAATTTCTAAAAATTAAGAAATTACATACCAAGACACTTTGATATAGAGGTTTTACTAGAACTTATTGTCTTCACGTGTGTTCTCCAGAGCTTGAGAGAATGGTTTGTCACTATGGATATTTAGCATGAGTCAGGATACTCAAAGCTTATTTAACAAGATCAGCATCCATATGCAGATTCCAACAAGCTTTGTTCTGCATTTACAGGCTGGAAAAGACTTCTGGCCCAGAGATGATAGAGGCAGTGTCATCCCCAGTAAAGCAGCATTCTTGGATACATGGGAGGTAGGTTCCAGCTTCTTCTAAGTGTGCTGGGAAAGAGTTTTTCCTTCAGTCCCCCTGGAGACTCTCCTGGTGTGGAAGAGCCCATGTGACTTGGGTCTGATTTGATCACTTTTATTCTGTAGTTCTTTTGTTTCTTTCCTCATGACCCGTGGCTTTGAGGTTCCTGACTCTATTTACATTCTGATGGCTAAGAGTGAGTTCTCAAACAACATAGAAATATCACCAATTTGTGGGACATACATAGTGTTTCAAAGCTGTGAGGTGGTATTTAGAATGGGTTTAATCTAAATTTGTGCATATTAGTTGAATGATCTAAGGTAATTATTTTAAGATTTGTAAGTCTTTGTTTTGTAGTGTAAAAGTATTTTCAATACATATGCAGTGTAATAGGAATGAACAGTGAATGTTTGAATTAAAAACTTTGTTTCAGTAGTAGACAGTTGGCAATAATACCCTCAAAACACCTCCCCTTGCTTTAAACACACTTATCCCACCTTTTCTGACTCCCTGAAGCAGTTCTAGAAGCTCTCTTTCATGAATGTTTTTGTTTTTGTTTTTTGTTACCGGGGATCAAACTTGGGACCTTCTGCTTGCAAGGCAGACAGCGGAACTACTGAGCTAAATCCCCAGCCCACATGAATGTTTTTTTGAGGTACGATAAAATATATTATCAATGCTGCTGAGTGCCTTCCAGTGGAAAGGCAGGCTCATAAAAAGTTCATGGTGTGTCCTCATCCACCTATTCACTGTGTCTGATACTCTCTGACTTTTTCCTAAACTCAAAAGAGCTACAAAAGATAAGTGTTCTGAATTCATTCAGAACATCCAGGTAGCCAGGACAGTGCAACTAAGGACACTCAGAAAGGAGCACTTCCAGAACTGTTTCAGAAAGTGGGAAGAATGTGGGGACGAGTGTGTTGGAAGCAAAGGTGCTATGCCACTACAACTTTGATTGTAATATTCTTCTAAGTAATTGAATATTTGCCATATTGTCAATTGCCTTGTATTAGTAATACATATCCTTCAAGTCTGGTAAAGAATGTTAGCTAATATACCAGGAATTTCAACTGGACAGCCCTTTTATCCATCCAGCTCCATAAGGGAGTGTTATATATAGTCTTTACAATGACTACAATAAAGACCTAGAACTGTTGGCAACATGTCAGGTCATAACATAGTGTTTGGCACAACTAGGACTGGACCTACATCCAAAGTCTGTTAGACTTAGAAGTCCACTTACTAAGGTCTTCAGCACATGCTCTGTCAAGGGTGGATACTTTTCCAAATGTTGGTGACTATCACATCAGCAACCAACTTCTTAGTGCAAAAATGCATAATTCATGTTCAAAATCAAAGTAAACCATGGCTATTTTGCTTAAGCCACTATAGCCTCTTGCAAATGACAGTAGAGAATAGAGTGAATGATTAAGTTTAAATGATACTTTCCTCATATAAGTACAGTGAGCCCTCAAATTAGGACTGATTTGACTTAGGAACAATTTGGGTTAATAAGGTTAATGGAAAATTCATCTGCCTCTTGTTATCTATAGCATGTACCCAGGTAAGCATCCGGATCTCAGCTGTGTTGGCTTAAAAACAACTTCAACTGCAACCAGCCCACAGGAACTGATCCAGTCTGTGAGTGAAGGGTCCACAGAAAATAGAAACTCATAAACAAAGTGACAGAACACCATGAATGTAGAAGCTGTGAGTTAGTTGAGCCCAAACACTGGATTCAAACTAAAAGGTGAAAAATGCTGGTTTTTACATTAATGATCATCCAGGCATTATATAACCATATAGTATAAAACTTTTTTGATAGACTCATACACAAAATTTATTAAACCTGAATTTTCAAAAGCTCTTGCTTTTTCTTTAATAGTGACAACATTATAGTCATAAAAATTTGAATTTGAGTACTTAACTGTAAAAAAAAAGATAAACATATTTATTTTCTTGCCATGGACCATGGACCCCTGAGTAATAGAGGAATGTTTAGGATTAATGAACAATTTTATGAAAAATATGATAGTTTATATGCATGGAGTTGAATTATGAAATATTTTATTTAGGAGAATAAAATTTGTAGCAAGATGTGCAATGTAGCTTGAGATTTCAGCATTCATTTGCATTAAGTCGAGTGCATGTAAACATCATGAACTGGAAACATGTTCTCTCTCTCTGTCTCTCTGTCTCTCTGTCTCTCTCTCTCTCTCTCTCTCTCTCTCTCTCTTTCTCTGTACTGGAGATCAAACCCATGTCCTCTTACACCCTATATACTAGGCAAGATTTCAGCCCTGAAATATCCTCTTAACTTTCAGCTAGCCTTGCTTTGATGGATCATTATCCATTTTTACTTGATGAGAGGACAAAAGCCATGCCACCCTCTCTGCATGTACTGGATGACTTTTTATATGCTTTCCTTTCTGTACCAGGTCATGGAGCAGCTCGTAGATGAGGGTTTGGTGAAAGCCATTGGTATCTCCAATTTCAACCACTTCCAAATTGAAAAGCTCTTGAACAAGACTGGACTGAAATATAAACCAGTAACTAACCAGGTAAAGACTGTTTATTAAAAACTTGCTCTGTTATTGCTTCAGTGTTTGGCGGCAAGCTCAGTGCTATGTACTGAACCTCATGTGAGGGATTAGGATGCTTTTGTGAAGTAGAAGGCCGATCAACAGGTCTAGTTCAGCAAGTCTACTTGTTTGGCTTCGCTTGGCTTGGTGATCTTTTGTGAATGTACAACTGCTCTAAAAGCAGTCCACCTCCCGTACTGATGCAGATTGTTCACTCTTGCAGGTGGAGTGTCATCCATGCCTCACCCAGGACAGACTGATCCAGTACTGCCACTCCAAGGGCATCACTGTCACTGCCTACAGTCCTCTGGGCTCTCCAGATAGACCTTGGTGAGGTTTTTCAGTAATGCTTCTTTCTCCTGATAGTTTCAAAACAATATTTTATAATTCTTCAATGTTGGTATGAATCTGCACTGTACTGGAAAGAAAAACTGTCAAAGGCAATATGTTTGGCATGCGTTAATGAGATTACAGTGAGAAAATGTGGGAGTTAAACAAATAAACAAGTGCAAATGGCAGCATCCTGTCCTCGGAACTTACTTCAGCTCAGCCATGCGTGGTAAACTAACCTTAGCAAAGCACTGAGGCTCCAGATCCCATGGGTGGGACATGGGAAGAACATGCAGCTGTCAGGTCCTCTTGTATGTCCTACAGATGGAGAAGGCTGTGGATCAGCCTTAAGACTGTAGAGAGGAGAGTACACGTGTGTGCACTGACCATGGTGACTACTCACACTGCCATCTCTCTGCCTGTAGGGCCAAGCCAGAGGACTCTTCACTGCTAGAAGATCCCAAGATAAAGGAGATTGCTCTGAAGCATAAAAAATCCACAGCCTAGGTACAATGATTGTTTTTCTTCTCTCTGCTATCCAGCCATCCATCTTTTCAATCTTGTGTTTAATTCCTTGTATTGACTTCATTTATCCCTTTTAGGAGACAAAGATGACATGAAGGCCATTAACAACTTTCTTTGAAATATTCTGATAATCTAGTGCATGGTGAAAGATAAGGTTCTAGTTTTAATTTTTGGCAGGTTGAAATACAGTTTTTCCAACACCATTTATTAAAGAGACTATCTTGCCTCCAGTGAAAATAGTCAGCTCCTTTGTCAAAGATAAGGTAGCTGAGTACTTCTGGAGTTGTTTTTGTATCTCAGATCTGTTCCAGTGATCCTCAGGTCTGTTTCCTTGACAATAACATGCTATTTTTATCACAGTGGCTTTGTAGTATAGTTTCAAATTGGGAATTGTTATACTCACTGCCATGTCTTTGTTGCCTAGTATGACTTTTGCTATTCTAGGTCTCTTATGGTTCCAAATGAATTTTTGGATTCTTTTTTCTCGTTCTGCGAAATATACTGTTGGAATTTCCATCGGCATTGCATTGAATCTGTATAGCAGTTTTGGTAGTATGGTCATTTTCACTATGTTGATTCTTCCTACCCAGGAGCAGTGGATATCTTTCCATTTTCTTATATGATCTTTGATCTCTTTTTTCAGAGTGCTGTAGTTTTCAGTGTAGAGGTCTTTTGCTTATTTCGTTAGATTGATTCCTACATACTTTATTTTTTTGGATGCTATTGTGAAAGGAATTGTTTCCCTAAATTCTCTCTCAGTGAGTCTGTTATTTGTGTACAAGAAGGCTATTGATTTTTGAGTGTTGACCTTGTATCCAGCTACTCTTCTGAATTTGTCAATTAAGTCTAGAAGTCTTCTGGTGGAATTTTTTGGGTCTTCAATGTAGAGCATCATGTTGTCAGAAAATAATGACAGTTTAACTTCTTCCTTTCCTATCTTTGTTGCTTTAATTTCTTTCTCTTGCCTAATTGCTTTGGCTAATGTTTCCAGAACTATAGTGAAGAAGAGTGGTGATAGTGGACATCCTTATGTTGTTCCTGATTTTAACGTGAGTTTTTTCAATTTTTTGCCTTTTAATATGACATTGGCTGTTGGTTTTTCATAGATAGCCTTTATTAAGTTGAGATATACACCATCTATGCCAATTTTTTGCAGGGTTTTTATCATGAAGGGGTGTTGAATTTTGTCAAATGCTTTTCCTGCATCTAGTGGATTAAAGATCTAAATATTAAAAAAGAAACACTAAACTTGCTGGAAGACAAGTTAGGCAGAACTCTTGAAGACATTGGCATAGGAAAAGACTTGATGAACAAGTCCTCAATAGCATGGAACTAGCAGAAAATCAACAACTGGGATCTCATCTATTAAAAAGCTTCTGCACCGCAAAAGAAACCATCAACAGAACTAAGGTACAACCTACAATGTGGGAAAAAAATTGTTACCAGCTGCTTCTCTGACAAAAGGGGCTCTTATCTAGAATATATAAAGAACTGAAAACAATCAGCCCCCCCAAATATATAGACCCGATTCAAAAATGGGCATCTGAAATGAACAGACATTTCTCAGACAAAGAAATAAAAGCAGCAAGTAAATACATGAAAAAGTGCTCCACATCACTGGTCATTCAAGAAATGCAGATGAAAACAACACTGAGATTCCACTTTACCCCAGAAAGAATAGATGCTATCAAGAAATCAAACAATATCAAATGTTGGTGGGGTTGTGGAGTGAAAGGAACCCTTCTCCATTGTTGGTGGGAGTGCAGACTGGTGCAACCACTATGGAAATCAATATGGAGACACCTCAAAGCACTGGGACTAGAGGTTCCATTTGAGCCAGCCATCCCTCTGCTTGGTATCTTTCCAGAAGAATTGAAAGAATCATGTCACAGTGATATATGCTCACCTATGTTTATAGCGGCATAATTTGAAATAGCTAAAACTTGGAAACAGCCCATTTGTCCATCAGTTGGACACTGGATAAAGAAGATGTAGTTTTTCTATAAAATGAAATACTACTCAGCCATAAAGAATGAGAAAGTAAACCAGGTGTGGTGATAAACACCTGTAATCCCAGCACTCAGGAGGCTGAGGCAGGAGGCTCACTGTGAGTTTGAGGTCAGCCTGGGCTAAATAGTGGGTTCCAGGTCAGTTTTGACTACATAGTGAGAACCTGTCTCAAAAAATCAAAACCAAAAACAAACAAACAAAAGAATGAGAAACCAGATTCATTGATAGGAAAATGGATACATATTGAGGATATACTCCTAAGTGAAATAATTAAATCACACATGTGTAAATGCCTAATAGTTTCTCTACTGTGAAAAACTATAACAGTACATAAGATCCTAATGGTATAATTGACAATGTGAAATAGGAAGAAAAGGGCTAAAGGTGTAGGGAAAGTGGGATGGGTAGGGGAAAGGTAATAAGGGAAAAGAAAAAGAAACATGAGAAAATGCAAAAATGGAAGTAAAGTGTTTGTAAATGGGGAGGGGAGGAGGGGGTGAAGGGAGGGCAGGGATAAGGGAAAAAAATGAGAACCAAGACCTGTCATGTAGGGGTACAAGATCCCAATGATGAATGTAACTGTACTGTATATCTAAAATGTACCAGAAAAATAAAAGAAATATGCTAAGAATCAAGAAACACAATGGGTCTCAGTGAAACAGGATGTCCCCTCTCTACTGGCTTCCTGCCAAGCCCACCAGTGAACACAGGACATGAGTTTGGGGTCATGCCTCAAGTCTCACCCTTAAGACACCAAGCCACCCTCCATAGGCCCAAATAAGGGAAACATAACATTGCTACTTGGACTCAGAGAAATGAGAGGAGGACTGGCAGATACCTCTGATAGTTAACCTCTCAGTTAATATTAGCTATTGTACCTAAACCCTCAAGGAGCTACAGAGGTAGTTTATTTTTTCTTTCATTTTTTTTTTTGTGGGAGTCCCACAATAATTGAAAGCATGATATCCTGTATCTATGAACATTGTGATCCGGTTCCACATCCAAAGGAATGTGGCAGTGATCCCCAAGTCTGTGACCCCAGCACACATTGTTGAGAACTTTCAGGTGAGATCCTGGCCAGTCCTCTGGTATTCTTCAGTGGAGTAGGACAGGGTGTCTCATCTCACAATGGATGGTCAGTGGGTCCTCCTCCTTCCCTAGCAACTTGTCATCTCTTGGCAGGCCTCAGTAGAGCTGAGACGAATGCAACATGGGCCAAGCATGCTGGAGAGAGTGACTGGAGCAGGCTTGTGTCATCTGCACATAGCTCTGTGTAACCATGTGGAGAAGACTCCTTTGCCCTTCATCGGTTAGGCCATGAGCTGCACGGCAGAGCAGACTGTCGTGTCCTGCAGACTCACCTCCTCACATGAGATGAGAATGGGCAGTTCTTGAAGAAGTATTATTCTTGAAAGAACTGCAAGCAGGGACACTGAGCTTGCTGAGGTTTAATGCCTTCAGGTCAGGTCTCCCTCCTTTTGTAGCATAAGCCTTGAAAGTACCAGGCTTCTACATGGCCCACATCATCATCTCTTCTCCATGTAGGCCAACTTTCAGCTTAAAGCTGACAAGGCGCTAAGAGGGTGAAACCACTGCAGTGGAGTAATGGGATCCAGTGTTGGTGAAAGCCTTACTTTGGAGAAAAATGTGTATCCACTGGACACACTAGGTTCTCTAGTCTCCTGTCCCAGTGTGAGCTGTGGACGGGAGCACATTCTCTAGGAGAATGTGTAGAGCTTTCCGGTCCCACCAAGAACTGCCCTGCCAAGAATGCTTGTGAACTTTCCTTTCCAAGTCTTTGACTTCAAGCTGAGCAATGAGGAGATGGCAGCCATCCTCAGCTTCAATAGAAACTGGAGGTTCTGCAGTGAGCTACCATAAGTATCAAGGAGTTAACTTGGAGCATCTTAGAGGTTTTATTCTAGTAGCACAAGATTTGATGAACAAATTGAAAGACAACCAGCCTATCTTCTGTCTTCAAGAACTATTTTCTAGAAGTTTAGAAAATTTAAGTTGGAGTCCCATGAAATCATAATGAGGAAAGATACATTTATAATTGCCTCTCATTGTCTAGAATTCTAGAAGTTGATCTGATATTTTAAGAGAAGATAGGTCATTGCTACATATGAGGTTTATTCATTCATTTCCTCAATACTTTATTTGTAATCTACCATGTGTCAGACAGTCTCTCAGAGATTGGGATTATCACACCATGCAAAGTCCTTGCTTCCTCAAGATCATATTCTAGAGGGAAAAATATGAGTAACTTAAATTATTCAGTGGTACTTCCTTTCCACAACTTAAGTATTTCCATGATTCTGGTTGTAACTGAATTTAGACAAGAACAGAATCAAATTCAATGGTTAGCTTCAATATTGACCTTATAGGGAAATCTGATTCAGTTCTTGTCCAATAAGATTTCTGACCAGAATCATGGAAAGAATTAAATTCATGAACCAAGGTACCACTGTATGTGACAGTTAGGAATGGTACAAAGAAAAAAATGTAAGAACAGAGGATAGGAAGTAGTGGAGCATGGTGTGATGGATCATTTCTATGCAATGAGCCAGGGAAGAATTTACCAATAATGTGATAATTTAGCAGAAACCAGGTGGAAATGATGGATGAACCATCAGGCTATTTAGGGGAATAATTTTTTATTGTAATAACAGTAGGTGTAAAGGTACTGGGTATTTTGATGTTAAGTAAGTCATCCAAGGAGATGAGCAGAATAAGTGAGAGAGTTTTAGGGACACAGCAAATGTAGAGTGGCGTGGATAATGAGAGCAACTTTGATTTTAGTTCTGAATGAGCCATGCCCTTGATGGTTTTAGCAGAGTGTGTCATGGCCTGACTCATGTTCTAAAAGAACCACACTGAGTGTCACACTGAAAGACTACAGGGAGACTATTCTATTAATCCAGGGAGAGATGGTGATGATTGGCCCTGAGCAGTGGTCCTGTATGAGTTAAAGAATGGTCAGATTCTGGGTATAGTGGGGAAACAGCCAAATTTGCTAACAATTTAAGGGTCGAAGGTGGCTGTTAGTTCTTATTTATTGGTGGCTTTTGCCTGAGCAATGAGAGAGCGTCATTAACATTCGGGAAAAGAAGTTAAGATTTGATTTGAGACATGTTTGAGATGACCATTGGACACCTAAGAGGGAATCTCAAATAGACAATTGGAGGTATAAGTGCAGACAATGTATTGTTGGGCTCAGGAGTAAATTTACCTGAGCTTAAATCTCAGATATCTCTTGTATTTTTTAGGTAGGTGGCCTTGAGTCAGTTTTCCAACATTACCAAGTTGATTTCTTCATCTGTGCAGTAGAGGTGAAAATACTAATTACCACTAAATGTGAGCTTAGGATATGTGCATTTGCCTGTAGTGTTTCTCATTTAATATGGCAGTCACCACACATTGATTTCACTAATTTTTCCCACATGATAAGATTATCAGAAAGAATGAGGCAGTATATATAGGGAGCTTTACCTGGCACTAGGCTTATCCTGAGACATAATTACGATTTAATTCTGGTTCTCTGGTCACCACTTACATGCCCTCCTTTCTCAAATATTCCCCCCATAAATTTGAAGAAGTGTGAAGGTGAGAGCCCCTTTGTTTGTTCATACAAAGTCTTGATGTGGTGGGTAGAGGCTGAGAGGACATAAGGAAGAGAAAACACACAGAGAAGAATGCAGATTATGCAGATGTTGCTTTGTGGAACATTTTCTTCTCTGTGCTTCTTTCAGCAACACTGAAGATTTGGAGGAGTATCCCTTCCATGCAGAATATTGAGGCTGAGTCTCCCAGTGAGATTACCTGGTAACTGATCCTTTATCACTGAAGTGGAACTCACCCCCTCTTTGCTTTAGTCAAGCTTGTCTGGAATCAAGTTTTTTTTTTTTTTTACATTTGTTTCTTGTGGCAAAATGAATGATAAGCGCATGCTTGCACCCACACAAAACACATATAAAAACCTCTTAAAATTGAGGATACAAAGTTAACAACAGTAAAAATTAATAATAGTAATCAACATGCATTTTGTGTTTAGTATGCACCAAAATGGTTTAAAGTGGTTTTCCTATGGGTAAACTCATTTATTGGGAGAATAGTCCTCTGATTCTTAGTTGAAGTAACACCACTGTAGTGGGTTGCTGTTTGGCTGTACAGTGAGATCTCATCATGTTTGGAGGTTTTGTGCTAGACTTTGCTATGAGAAAATCATCCACTAATGCTATTCACAGTGCTTTCTGAACTGTGTGTCCTATAAGATGGTATTATCAATAGCTAAGTTAAGTAGAAATATTGAAGGCAGTAGGGCAGGGCTAGGTCTTCAAGGAGTTCACAGGATGAAAACACCTTATAACTGTTACCACCTCTGATCACTCTCCAAATTCTAGGAAAATGAAAAAGACACCAACCCTGGAACTCTGCAGTAGTTCTGCACCTCTGACCTAGGCCTGCTCAAAACTCTGCCAAGGTTACTTTAGACTCAGACATAAATCAGAAAGGGCTTCTCTGTGTCAAACTCATTGGAGCCTGATCAGCGTGCTTCTCTCTGAGGAGTGCATTTTCCCTTCATAAATCTCTGCCTTTCTTACAGCTCCTGTGTGTCCCACTCAGTTCTTTGTTGGGGATATGAAGAAGCTGGGTATCAGGTGAGACAGAGACAGCTCTAACAGCATCTTGGCTTGTCAGCCAGGAGTCAGGTGAGTGCTTTTCCCCATCTTTGGTTTATTTTCAATAACTTTGCCTGATTTAAGGCTACCCACGGCTTGCAGACTCTGACAGGAAGACTTGGTCTTGGAACAGATGCTGAGGTTCTGCCGGGTGAAAGGCAAAGCATATATTGTGCAGGTTTATGTTCTGAGTCTGTGCACCCAAAACTGTAATTTACCTAAAAAGCTCCTGCCCAAGGTCACTGCTGTTAGCTCCTCTTTTTGCCCAGAACAGGAGTCCAGGGAAAGTATATGCAGGGTTCCCACCTCTACAAGAAATGACCCTCCCTGGGCTGCTTCACTCAGTCCATGGAGGGTTGGGGGTGAGCGGCTGATTTCCTTTGGCTGGGAGAAAGGCCCGGAAGAAAGGTCTCCAGCAGCTCCGCGGCTGCCCAGAAACCTAGCTCTGTCCTGGACAGCGAGATGTGGGTCTAGGCCAGGATGGCTTGTCATAACCCAGCGTGGATGTGCAAGGAGCACGGACTCAGCGAGACCAGTAGGTGCTGGTGCTCCAGAAGCAGGAAACTCAGCCCGAGCCACGCCAGAGTTTTTCTCCCGGTGCTCTGTGCCCTTGGCCTGGACTGCAGCAATGGATGGAGCAGCGGCAGAGTAGTTTCAGAACTCTTCTTCGGTTTGCCTGGGGCCTGGAGTGACCTTGCGCTGAATCAGCAGCCCCCTCCCCATATACCTGCTGGAAGCACTGCACCACAGCAGGGTGGACTGGAGATGGACCTCAGCCCAGGTTCCCTTCGTCCTGGCATGTGGAGAGAGCATTTTAGATAAAACCCAAGCAGTTTAGAACTGAAGAGGCCCCATTAATCAGTACATTCTCATAACACCTTCCTGATGCCATCCCCTTAGAGGTCAGCTAAAGCGAGCTGTAGAACTCTGCCAGCTTTTTGGTGCCTTTAAACAGTAACTCTAGGGGTTGTGGGCCCTGATTAAAGTGTCCTCTCACACAGTGAGTTGACTCTTTAGGCTGTGATTCAGATTCTCTTCACAAATGCACAGTTCAGCTCACATAGATCACAAATCTAGACTGCCGCTATGAATAAAGGCTATATCTGGCCTCTTGAGGGTCACCGTGCATGGAAAAATTCTCAGAAACCCTGACCTTGACACTGGTGGCATGTTTGTCCAGAGACCACTAGCGTCTCAGTCAGTCTCATGTAAGTTTTAGCGGGGATTCCCCAAGTTGGTGGTAGACCCACTTCCTTAAAAGCCTCAAGACCTCTCTATTCTGCTAGACTCCCCTGGGGCAGTATCCTAAATCACTCAGAGTTTGAGCTGGGCAACCTGAAAGTTTTTTGTTTTTTTTGTTTTTGCTTTGTTTTTTAACAGTGCCATTCATACAAGCCCTTTAGGAAAACCCTGAACTTTTTGCAGGATCACAAGAGAACAATGCCACTCTGGGTTTTTCTCTTATTTCTTGTCTGAAATTTCACAATAAATATGCCTTTGTATGGACTTCTTTATGCCTTGTGCTAGTTATTCAGTGCACACTTTTAAGGGTGAAGACTTAGGTGCTTGAGATCTTGAGAACTTTTAGAAAATTTCTGGTATTTCTCTTTCCTTTGTATTTTTCTCCTCTCTCTTGGGACTCCGGGTAGTTATTCAGTGCACACTTTTAAGGGTGAAAACTTAGGTGCTTAAGATCTTGAGAACTTTTAGAAAATTTCTGGTATTTCTCTTTCCTTTGTTTTTTTCTCCTCTCTCCTGGGACTCCGGGTAGTTAGGTCTCATGCCTTCTGTATAGATTCTTTATTCCCTTATATTCTATTTTTTATTTTTAGTTCTACTCATGAGAGAATAATTTATCAATTCTTAAATTGAATTTTTAATTTCAGCTGTCTTTTAAAAAATTTTTCTAGAGTTGTTTGTTATTGTCTTTTGGTTTTTCATAGCATTGTTTTGATTACAAATATGTACCTTATCTCTCCTGAGAATGTGATTTTTAAAATTGCGCTCCTTTAAATCTTTACAAATTTTTTTGAAATTTATTTTGCATTTTGGCTCTTTTCACACTTTTTTTTAAGACAAATATTGAGTGCTCTGGGCTATCGTATCACATGTAGCGGTGCGGCACCAGAGCTCTGACTCACGTGGAAGCAGCACGTGACACAGACACACTACAGCACTTATCGGCCACTGCTGAGTGACAGACTCTAAACTGGCTTTGCTGTTGGAGCAAATGCTCATGTGTCAGTTAGTGAGAGTCTTTTACAGAGGTCACTCGGTTCTCCCAGAGAAGTATTCTGGACTGGAAAGGAGTGAGGAGTTGAAATTCTTCTGGAGGCAGTGCTGAGGAGGGGGGCTGTGTCACTTATGTCTTCTGTTTAACCATACATTTCACCCTTCACCCTCGATTCACTGCACGGTCTGAAACCACATTGCTCCAGAGAATAAACCTCTGAGCAACGGGGCATCTGGAGATATTTCAGCCAATCTTCCTGTTTGGGGTTCTGCCTCCTCACCTCTGCATCTTTTTTTTTTCTCCCCCTCATTGAGTTTATTGGTACATTTTAGGTATACAATACAGTTACATTCATTATTAGGATCTTGTACCTTTACATGACAGATCATGGTTCTCATTTTTCCCAATACCTTTCCCTCCCTTCCCTATTTATAAAAACTTTATTTCCATTTTTTTCATTTTCTCATGTTTTTCTTTTCCCTTATTTCTTTTCCCCCACCCTTTCCACTTAACCTACACCTTTAGCCCTTTTCTTCCTATTTCACATTGTCAGTTATACCATTAGGATCTTATGTACAATTACAGTTTTTCACACCACAGAAACTATTCAGTATTTACACATGTGGGACATTTATTTTACTTAACAGTATGACCTCATTATGCATCCATTTTCCTATGAATGACTCTAGTTTCTCATTTTTTTGGCTGAGTGGTACTCCATTTTATAGAAAAACCACATCTTCTTTATCCAGTATCCAACTAATGGGCAAATGGGCTGTTTCCAAGTTTTAGCTATTACAAACTGTGCCGCTATAAACATGGGTGTGCATATATTACTGTGATATAAATCTTTTATTCTTTAGGAAAGATACCCAGCTGAGGGATGGCTGGGTCAAATGAAACCTCTAGTCCCAGATCTTTGAGGTATCTCCATATTGATTTCCATAGTGGTTGCACCAGTCTGCACTCCCACCAACAATGGAGAAGGGTTTCTTTCTCCCCACAACCCCACTAACATTTGATATTGTTTGATTTCTTGATAACAGCCATGCTTTGTAGTGTGAGTGTTGTTTTCATCTGCACCTCTCAAATGACCAGTGATGTGGAACATATTTTCCATATATTTACTTGCAGCTTTTACTTATTTGTCTGAGAAATGTCTGTTCATTTCAGATGCCCATTTTTAATAGGGTCTTTATATTTGGGGGGTGATTTTTTTCAGTTATTTACATAGTCTAGATAATAGTCCTTTGTCTAAGGAGCAGCTGGTAAAAAGTCTTACCCACATTGTAGGTTGTCTCTTATTTCTGTTGGTGGTTTCTTTTGCAGTGCAGAAGCTTTTTAATTAGCTGAGATCCCAGTTGTTGATTCTTTCTGCTGTTCCCATGCTACTGAAGATTTGTTCATAAAGTCTTTTCCTATGCCAATGTCTTCAAGAGTTCTGCCTAACTTATCTTCCAGAAAATTTAGTGAATCTTTTTTAATATTTACATCTTTAATTCACTGGATTTTAATTTAGTGCATGGTGCAAGATAAGGGTCTAGTTTTAAACTTTGGCAGGTTGAAATCCAGTTTTTTCAACACCATTTATTAAAGAGGCTATCTTTCCAGGCTGGGGATTTAGCTCAATGGTTCCGCCACCTGCCTTGCAAGCTCAAGGACCTGAATTTGATCCCTGGTACCAAAAAAGAGGCTACCTTTCCTCCACTGAGGATGAATGGCTCCTTTGTCAAAGATGAGGTGGCTGAATACATCTGGAGGTGTTTCTGTATCCTCCAATCTATTCCACTGTTCCTTAGGTCTGTTTCTTTGCCAATACCATGCAGTTTTTATCACAGTGGCTTTGTAGTATAGTTTCAAATTGGGAATTGTTATTCCCGCTG